ATACTTTTTTGGTATCGATTTATTACAGGTGCGTTGAGTCAACTAATTGAAATTCGTTTTTGTTTTAAGAAAGATAAAAGTTGATAACTGAAAAATTTTTAATGTAGTGCCAAAAAAAAAAAAAACAAACATTTATTAGTGATTTGTTCAGATATATGTAAAATCTATTTTAAAGCGCATTTGAGGCATATTGAATACATTTCGTAAATCTAGGATCTAGGATATATGTATATAGTTTTACTTTTTTAAATGCTGCTTGCAGTATTCCCAAATAAACAAAGAGCCAGTCACATGCACATTTAAAGAACGTACTACACCAAATTGTGGTATTTCTACAGCAAAATCTAATAATGCTATCAGATCCACTGGTATTCCGTGCTTCTCATGCCTATAATAATAAGAATTGATAATTAATATTAAGACATTAACTCATGCTTCTAAAATCAAATTACCCCAAGAGCAGAACACACTTTTCAGGAAATTTAAAATCTGTGAAGTTAGTGCTGTGTGCTGTTTGTTCTGCTCCCACAATTTTATATCCCTGGGATTGTTTTTCAATCAAATAGCTGGCCAGTGACTCGGGCTTGACTTCACCAATATTAAGAGTCTTCTCGGCGGTCATGCTGAAATCAAACGGAGTCATTTCAATATGCAATTAATTATAGAAGTAGTATACATACCTTAAATTAGTGAAGTCACTTTTAAGTGCAAAAGATTTGGCGCCCAAAATCAGGGTTTTAACGCCCAATACCTCACAGGTGCGCGCTAACCCGCCAAGATTGGGTAACTTATCTATGAGAGATGCAACCACTATAAGCTCCTGCTCATTCAATTGTTCTGAACTTTGGGCTAAGTCACTGTCTGTATATATATCGTTGATAGGATTAATTTTCCGCTGAACATTTAAATTAGCCGCCTTCACTAGAACTTCCGGTATAATTGGGGTTGGGTTCCTTCTCGCTTTCAATGCAGCTCGTGTCGCTTCTACCTTAGCTCTAAGCGCCTCATCAGTGATCATAGGTTTTTTATATTCATCAAATGGCGTATTGGTCATATACAAGATAATGTCAGCATTTGAGTAATTTGAGCTTATTTCCGGTAGTAAGAGACGGGTTTCATTGTTCAACTCATGCAACTTTGTACCCAAAGTCGTTTCAATGGTAGCCTTTATTGTATTAAGAATAGGCCATTCCATGCTACAAATAGTTCATAAATTAATGTTCTATACAAATTTATAATACAATAATATATTATCAATATTATTAAAATTACCTGCTTGTTTCGCACTTTACTGCAAGTTTATGCAGAACGAGTTGGGCGAAGAGTCGGGTTTGATAGTGCGCTCCCATTGTGTGCGGCAACAGTAAGTTTACAATGCATTGTAATTGTGTCAACTCGAGGACTTTCCAATTCAAAAAGCAATATATATGAGCTATGGAAATTATTGATACCTGCTGACTGGGTTTGAGCGTTGCCAATGATTGCATTCGATCCATCAACTCTTTGATGTCAGGAAGCAGCTGAGCAACAAGGCACTCATACATATAGCTAATGTTCAGTTGATCATTCAGCGCCAGCACAGCGTTCCACATTTCATCGGACCATTTGATTCCGTCCTTCAATATTAAAAGTGCTCTAGCAATGCGTATTTTGATCCTATGCTCTTTGCAATTTTCATAGTAACGCGGCTTCTTCACGTTCAACTCTTTGTTGATGTCCTGGAGTTCACTGCAGATGGCATTTACTATATCCGGCTTAGGTTTCTGCTTCAGGAAATATATGGATCTGGTTCGCAGGTCTACATCGTCGAATGGACTATTGTTAAGGCTGTCGATATATGCTAATTCAATGCTGTGTAGAAAAGAATATATATATATATAAATGTGTGTATTTAACTTTTTATTTTGTTATTCAGTGTTATTACCGTGCGTCTCCGGTGGTTATCTCGCCATTTAGGATACTTTCAAGAATTAAGGAATTGGGAATCGCGTTGGTTAAAATATACCACGATATGAGACCATTGCGATTATTAACTGTATCTCTTACAAGTTTCGTATTTTCATCATCGCTTAAAAACTTTATCGCATAGCTTACAACGCTCGCAGCGCTGTAAAAGTACATTCATTTATTTAATATAGAAACTGATGGTAATATGATTATTTACTGGTTTTTACTTACACTCCATCACAGTTGGGATGCTTGTTCGAAAGGTTTATCACGGTGGAGAGCACATTTGCTTCGTCTTCGATTCTTGTGTCGCTAAACTCCAATAGTTGGGTTAAGTGAGCCAACGTTGCTTTTGTGCCACTTTCTAGAAGATCACATGGCTGTAGCTGCAGCTCTTTTAATTGACTCCACTGTTCGAGGTTAGCCCGGACAAAACAATCGACGCAGTGCTCCAACACAAACGACTTTTCATCTTTGGTTTGACAGTTCAGACGCTGCAACATATGTTGTTGCAGTTCCCCAAGATTTGCGCTCTTCTCAAACATTTCAGTATCGATATTATATTGAGTTCTATAATAATGCAAACATGTCTGCTGTTGCTCAGGCTCCATGTCATTCAGCTTGAAAATTGGAAAGAATCGCCACCAACCGTGTTGCGAGCTAGGCAATGCACGTAATTGTTTTAAAAGTTCATCAATCAATATCATAATGCCATTCTTAAAGATAATTTCACCGCAACGTTTGTTGAAACGAGGAATCTCTTCGCCGAAGTTTTCGCAATTTTGTATCTTTCCCTTCAAACGTATATGGTCATAAAAATTATCGCTCACATTGAAAAGCGTCTCAATGAAGATCAGATAATCGCCCAGAGTCAAGCTGCTTATACTGGTCTACAATAATGGAAATAAAATATATTAATACTATTCAATATATGCGAAGAGCAGAAATTTACCTCGAGGAGATTGAACACAAGTTCATTAGCTTTTTGTCGCAAAGTTGCATTGGTTAATGCGCGAACTCGTGAGCTGAGTTGCAGGAGCACTTTTTTGTTTATGAGAGCTTTAATGGGTTTCATTTTGCTCAGCCAAAAGTGGAGTGGAACGGAGTGCCAGGGCACTGTGGCCAATGCTTCCAGGAACTCTTGTGCCTGGTTCTCGCCCGACATGAAGAGCTCCATATTTATCTCTGGCAAAAAGTAGCTTTCGACATTATACAGCTGTGTTCTGTTTGTGGCCGCTAGGAATTCAGGAAGCAGTTTGTATTGACACAACTTGGACACATCAAAGCGGTTGAAAAAAAATTCCAATGTCCAGCGCAAAACCAATATGTTGTTGTCCTGCAATAGCCGTGCATATAGAATGCGCAGCCAGATCAGCCAATCATCCTCCTTATTGCTCTCCGCAATACGGGGCAGCAACGTGCTCAGGGTGGGCAGCACTAAATGCGATTGTTGCTCCTCCAGGGTCTCCATTATGACAATGTAGGAGGACCACTGATGCTCATCGCATTTAAGAGTGTCGAGAACACGTATGCTCCGTCCAGCAGTGCTAGCAGTGGGTTCCTCTTGTACTATCATAAGAAGTTTCCTCATGAGAAAGTGTGCTGATCTGCGTTGCTCGCGAGCTTCTGATTGCAACAGGTCTTGTATAACAGCGTGTAGCTCAGATGAACAGGCGCTCTCGTCGCCCATTTCACGTAGGAAATCATCAAAGAGCTGCACCAGGATTTGGGCGGCATGCGGTTGTCGTTCGCTGCTTAGGCTTAGAGACCAAAGTTGACGTAGCAGGAATTTGCCATCGACCCGGGGAAACTTGCGGGCATGAATTTGCACACAGATAAGCAAATTGGCCACCAGCTGGCGATGAAGCCCATGTGGAATTCCGTCATCATCGCTCTCGGCGATGACAACCGAAATGAGTTTGTGAAATACCTTCGATCCAAACTTCACATTCCACCTGTTGTTGCTCTGCAGCAGGTTGTAGATGCACTGCAGTACGCGCTTAAGGGCCAATTCATTGTTCTTATGCAGATCAATTAAATCACATAGCAACTCATCCAGTTCGGCAATCTCTCCCAACAAGTTTTGGTTTTGAATATATGTTTCGACTGCCTGTACAACCGCGTTCGTTCCTGTTGCACTTATTGCTTTCCTTGGAGGCAGAGACATTTTAAATTCGCTGCAGTTATTAATCACCCAACAAGTAGTATTAGTCACTCTATTGTTATTATTTCACAAGTCAGCTTTTGACTTGTCTACCAATCGATAAGCGTGGGATGCCGTCGATTAATTGATTAACCTGCAATATCTATCGATAAAATTTATTATCAGTCTGGCAGCACTATAATAACGTGCAACAATTTTTCAATTGACAATATTCATTTTTTTATTGACAATATTAGACGTAAAATATACATTTTTGGTTATGCATTCAAAAATATTATTAGCTTTAAGAACTAATTTTCTTCTCCGCGTCTACTTGCACGATTTGTCTCCCTTCTCTTTCTTTACCTTAGCACATATTCGTATGCACTTTGATACTATTGGATCATCCGAATCACATTCACCTCCTTTTTTCTGTTCTTTTGATTGTTTTTCCGAATCACATTCACCTCCCTTTTTTGGTTCGTTTAATTGTTTTTCGCACTTGTTTATTCCTTCTGTATGTTTGCTGCAATTTTTTTTACTTTCTTTTTTCGTTTCTTCAACGGGCTTCTCTTTAGCGTCGGGAGTTTTAGTGGATTTGGAATCCTGACGATTTTTTTTTGTATACAAGAGGCGAAATGTTATCCTCTCTGCCTCTAAGGCATTTACAATCATAAGTGTCATAGGTTTTTCTGGATCCACGATTTTCATCTTAGCCATATACTCTAACCCAATATTTAGAATAGTCGTAAAATCTTTGCAACCATTGGTCATTACCTCTGGAACGATCGGATAGATACCGCGATAAATAGTTGCTTGTCGTGCTACCCTTCGTATACCGGTGAGAAAAACAATAGGACATCTGGGTCGAAATTGACTAATTAAATTAGGCACAACCGGACATGGGCTCGCTACGACTATGGCAGTGGCTTGACCCAAGGAAGCAATCTCACTGATCCCGGCCGTAATCGCCGAAATATTGTCGGACGATGATGATTTCATGTAGGTCTTCACTTCGTTCTGTAATCGTTCATACCATAGCACATTTTCCACCTTTGCACAAATTTTCGCCATGCATTTAACACACTCGACCGGGTATTTGCCCTTGGCCGTCTCACCAGACAGCATTACGCAGTCGGCGCCATCAAATATGGCATTGGCGACATCCGAGGCTTCGGCGCGCGAGGGCCGTGGCTTGCTCGTCATGGAATCCAGCATCTGGGTGGCACATATGACGGGTTTGCCAGCCATGTTGCATTTCGCTATTATGGACTTTTGCGCCAGTACAACTTCTTCGGTAAGGATCTCGATACCAAGATCACCGCGAGCCACCATGATCCCATCCGAGGCCTCAATTATATCATCAATATTATGCATTCCCTGTTGATTCTCAATCTTTGATATGATTTGGATGTGCTTGCCTTTTGGTCCCAGCACTGCACGAATTTCACTAAGGGCATTGGCATCACGTATGAACGATGCAAAGACCATGTCCACACCATGCTCCACACCGAACTGCAAGTCCTTTTTGTCCTTTTCCGAAACAGATGGCAAATCAACTGGAATACCAGGAAGATTCACACCCTTATGAGATCCCAACTTTCCGCCATTGACAATCTCGCAAATAACTTCTGACTCAGTCGTCTCCGTAACGCGCAACGCAATCTGTCCATCATCGACAAATATTAAGTTTCCTTTCTTGACAATCTTTGGCAACTGTTTATAGTCTACGTATATAGTATCTTTAGTGCCATTTGACTCCAAATCCTTGTTGGTGGATAACTTGATTTTATCACCTTGCTTTAGATCCACTTCTGCAGTATGGCTGCCCGATATTAGACCCGTACGTATTTCTGGTCCCTTGGTATCCAATGCAATAGCCACGGGCTTGTATACTCCAACCTGGGTCGCATAGCACTCGATGGCCTTCCTTGCCTCTTGTATTGTATTACAATGGTAATCGTATGTGCCATGCGAGAAGTTTAATCGGACAACTCGCATCCCGGCTTCGATTAGCTTGACTAGCACGTCCGCCTTGTTGGATGCGGGTCCAATCGTGCAAATGATGCCGCTTAACGCATAACTCAATGTGGGTGCATTGAATCGCAGACGAGATTGATAGTCCAATTGCGAGGAGAACGGCCCTCGGTCCAGAACTACCTCAGGTTTCTTATCCTACAAGTATAGACCTTAATACTAAGCAACAGTATATAGTCTCTATAGACGCTTACACATTCCAACTTGGCACTGGTGGAGTAATTAGCAGAATCAAGTTGTACCCGTGGCAGCAAGATCTGCATGGGCGCAGACACTCGGGTTGTGAATCGTGTAAATAATGTCATCAATCTGCGAAACTTTTACAGAATAAAACTTAATTTTGGCATATGAAATTTTGAAAAAAAAATGTTTATTTGATTTTGATTAAATAGTAAACTACATAAAAAAAAAAAAAAAATCCAACAATTAAAAGGCAAAGGCAAATCAATATGAATGATATAAATATGCCCCTGTTAAATTTATGTTTAAGTATTCCACACATATATCAACAACAGTAAACAACGGCATCTGTACTATATAAGCCTCTAAATTAGAAAGTGAATAAGAACCAATCAATACCAGTTAACGCAAGCCAATTAACCGGCAATAAAGGTTAGAGTAGACACAAATATTATTTTAGCTAACGACTTTATCGATTTTATTTCAATAGGTAATTCAATTCAATTATTTAGGGCTCTCATACATTTTGAACGATCTTTGAAGGTCAAAACATTAGCTCTTAGACTGGCAGTAACTTGAATTCGTACACTTCACTAGTGGAAATCGAGGTAGCATTATGTATACATATAGTTTTTATTAATCTTTGTTACTATAAAGAACTCTATATTTAACAATGATAAATTATATTTGTATGCTTGTATTTGTGTGTATGTGTGAAGGAATGACTCCATGGAGTCATTCAGTGGCGCTCTGACAGCAGTTAAATATATCCAATCTCGTTATCCAATAATCCATATATATTTGTTGAGAATTTTTAATAAATTAACTTGGTTAATAACAGTAATTGATGCACGCGCACAGCGCTTAAAACACGGGCGCAGTGTCAGCCACTGATAACAGGCTTATTCGACGGTGCTGTAAGATGGGTGAAACGTAAGTTGAGGCTATATCGGAGCTTTCAGTCAGCAGTCAGCAGTCTACTTACACAATACGAATGGTGTTGGTGAAGCCGGAGCCCTGCTTCCAGCCAGTGACAATGACCACAGAGTCGCCAGCCTTGATGAAGCCGTTCTTCTTGCCCACCTGCAAGCCGAACTGGACACGCACATCAACATCCTTTAGCCAGTCGCTGAGGGCGGGCTCTGTGAAATTGATTGCACATGAGATTAAGAAACTCAAACCGAGGGACGTAACACCTACCCTTGTAGATAAGTGGCACCAAGCCACGGTACAGATGAGCCTGCCGAGCAGTTTGCGCAAAACGCGTGACGGCAATGATGGGGCAACGTGGGCGATACTTGCTCACCAGGAATGCGGACTTGCCGCTGGTGGTGATCACCACAATGGCGGCTGCCTTGGCCTTGTTGGCTGCCTCGACAGCGGCAATAGCCGCAGCATGGGCAGCATCCAAAGTGGTTGCGGAGGCTGCACGCACCAAATCCGCAAATAAATTCTGGTGCCACAGGGCAGCCTCGGCCTCCTTGCACGTCTTGGCCATGGTCAACACACACTCCAGAGGATAGTCACCCTTGGCTGTCTCACCAGACAACATGACACAATCAGCGCCATCGAGCACAGCGTTGGCCACGTCCGAGATTTCGGCACGAGTGGGACGTGGTTTCTTCACCATGGACTCCAACATCTGAGTAGCGCAAATAACGGGCTTGCCGGCCTTGTTGCAACGTGCGATCATTGCCTTTTGGGCCAGGAACACCTTCTCGGCGGGTATCTCAATGCCAAGATCACCACGAGCGACCATGATACCGTCACCGGCCTCAATGATCTCGTCCAGATTGTGCATGCCCTGCTGGTTCTCAATCTTAGAGATGATCTTGATGTTCTTACCCTTCTCGCCCAAAACTTTGCGGATTTCGGTCAGAGCGGCAGCATTGCGAATGAACGATGCAAAGATCATGTCCACATCCTGCTCTACACCGAACTGCAAGTCAGACTTGTCCTTCTCGGACACAGCTGGCAAGTCGACGGGCACGCCGGGGAGATTGACACCCTTGCGGGAGCCAAGAGCACCACCGTTCTCCACCTCGCAAGTCACCGTGTCCCCGGAGACCTCGCGCACAACCAGCGAGATGAGTCCATCGTCGACAAACACGCGATTGCCTGGCTTCACCACGTTGACAATGTTCACGTAGTCCACATAGACAATCTCCAGAGAGCCCTTCTCTAGGAATTCCTTGTTGGTGGTCAGCTTAATAGTCTCGCCCTTCTTCAGCTCAATCTCAGCAGTGCCGCTGCCGCCGATGAGACCAGTACGGATCTCGGGACCCTTGGTATCCAGGGCGATAGCAACTGGGTGCTCGTATCCCAGCTTGGCCGAATAGTTCTTAACAGCCTGTCGCACATTGGCCACCGTCTCAGCATGGTATTCGTGCGAGCCATGAGAGAAGTTCATGCGCGCCACATTCATGCCAGTGGCGATCATCTTCTCCAGCATCTCGACACTGCGCGATGCGGGTCCGATGGTGCACACAATTCCAGACAGACGCACATGGGGCACAGGCGAGTCGAACTGCAGGCGGCACATATGCTCTAATTGGCTCTCAGCTCCGGCAGCCATATTTTGTGGTACTTCGTTTGGCTGCAATAAAAATGAAGCGGATATTAAATACAATTTCCAATAACCAACATAATTATCGCTGTCAATGAGGTGGATAATAAACTTCTGCTGACTTCGGCGGTTTATGGTTCGTTATATCGATATTCGCCTACCGACACGCAAATAGAGAGCGACACAGAGCGCGCAAGAGCTGGGAATAGCAAGAGCGGGCATCGCACGCATGAGAGAGCGACAGCTAGCGAGAGTGGGAGTGGAGGTGCGACAGACGCAATACGAGAGACTGACAGACGGAAGAGATTTTATGCATCGGCAACGGTGCGGCGCTGCATCTGTGAAGGTCACAACTTTTGCATCTGCTATAAGCCAAAAAAAATTAAAACAGTTGCATAATAATATTGCCACAAAACTGTTGGAATAACTGCTTTGATTTCTTTTTAAGCTGATAGGCATATCTTTATGGATATATATACATATAAGTTAAAAATGTTCCGCGAATTCTGTACACTGTGGGGGACTCCTTACCTTCAGCTTCGGTGCCTCATCATAAATTGTTACGTTAACCATTTTGTTGCCTACTAGATTGACAGTGTATAAACCACGACAATTATATTTCGAGTGTTGCCCAATACGGATACGGATGATACGCACAAAACAGATACTGACGATGCGTTGTATGGCAAGAATGATTGCGTTCAAAACCTAAGCGAAACGGGGTTTTTCACACAATGACATAAAACGTTCGACTGGCCGAGTCTGGGTGGAAAATTTTTGGCAAAAGCATTCAGAAAGTCGGTAATGCACAATGAGCGCAAAACCACGAGACTCTGGTGAAAATGCCAAACGAACGGTTCTCCCACGGAGCCGAGAGAGCGCGGCGCCGCCAGTGGTGCAAACTGGCGAACGGCAAAGACAAACGGCAACAGGCCACCCCTAAAAAGCCGCCCAGCACAATAACGAGCGGCATTTCGCAAAAGTTTATCTCTAGAAAAAAGCTCGATATTTAGCTGTCAGACTAGCGGTGCCAACCACAAAGCTCAGTCAGCTGGCCATATGTCTGAGCTCAATAATACTTGTGATCGGTGAGAGTGTAAACAAAAAAATGATCGTCAGCTGTTGGAAGCCGAAAATAAACACACACTAAAAGTATCAAAAATAAAAGCAATAAAAAATTCTAATTATCAGCTGTCGAGTACGGAAAACGCCGCCGCTGACAATGCCGCGTTAGCTGCTGACCTTGAATTGAACGGAATAATATAATCTCCATACAGCATAGCACGCATGCTCTCTATCGCTCTATCTCACTCCCACCTCCCACATGATGCGATTGCGTGGAAGGCGCCAGCTGGGGGGGTGCTTGACGCGTGACACGCACACCACTAGCAGAGCTTTTGCAAAGAGCGCTTTAACGAACCAAAGCAACAGCAACAACAACAGATTAAAGAAAAAAGTTCTCTTTCAGTGAAAGTGCTTTTACCAATTTCCAAAAGGCTATTGGACTCTGCCCTTGAACCTGCTTACGAAGGACATTGTCACAGTAAATGAAGTTACAGCATACAAATTACGCTCTGTTAAAAGTCGACAAGCAATCAAATTCAACAAATTGAAATGAATTAAAGCCGGCAAATTTTAATCAGCGTTTAATTACTCATCGCCGTGTCGTGGGATTTCGTATTTTTTTCAGACATTTCCTCATACACATATATAAATACATAAGTATATGCAAATATGCTGTGTATATATAGAAGTGATAAAGGTACTCAATTTAAGGTTAAAAGCAAAATAATTGACACTTGGTGATTATTATTGCATTTTCCAATGGCGTGTTTGCTCTATATGTTTGCAAGAATGTATGAGTGCTCCACTGTGCTTTTGTATGGAATGACTTCTATTTCACCTTTACATATTTTTTACCCGCGCATCAGCCGGTCACACAAATGAATATGTCAGTGTGTGTGTGTGTATTGCAAAGTCAGTGAATGTATGTATGGATCAGTTAATTTTCATAATACGGGTAAAGTGTTTGCATCATCGGCAAAGTAAAGCATAATTTGGCAAAACTACTCTTTCATTAGGCATTATTTTATCGCACTTATATACATATTCATTTACATGAATTTATATGACGACATATTATTAGTAATATATATATGGTATGGAGATTATATGATATATGATTATCATCCGTTTAATATCTTACCTTGTTTAAGTGTTGAAAATAACGTTAAGGGATAGATGTATTCCTTCTCCTGTTTCGGAATTTATTTATTTTAAATGCACAGGCTGTGTATACACCGTCACCAAAATACGAGCTGCGAGTTGGGGGCGATCTGTTTTGCGACTAAGAACTTTTTTCGATATGCCGCAATAGAAAGTTTAAGTAAACTAATATCGAATAACAAGTATTAATCGATACCTATCACGATATCTATTTTCGTTACAACAATCGATATTTTTTTAAATTTGCATGATTGACAACATTATAGGCTTTCATTAAAATATTTATTAAACACACATATTTTATACATATATTGTGTTTTGAGTGTAGTGCAAGTTCACAGGAAGCTTTAAGGCATTTTGTTAAGTGCATCGATTAAAGCGTTGCATCTGATCATTGCCATATCCTGTAAATAGTTAACAGCATCGACGTGCAACACCTTATGCATTTGCAACTTTTCCTGTAAAAAGTTCATTTGTGCCTTTGATGGCCGATGAGGAAAACCTGTAAAAAAAATAATTGATTTAATACTAAATACGATTACAGCAAGTTGAAATAAACAACCTTCTATGAGGCAAACGTTTGTATGACACGGCACATTTAAATCTGGTGGATAGCGTCGAATGTCCTCTTCTGTTACAGTGGATACATTGGTAAATTCAATATACATAACATCGTATGTACGGGTAAACTGATTCGTTTTAATATCCATTACCTTGGCACGATACCAAGCATCTTCAAATTTGGCAATAACATATTCCCTGAGTCTGAAAATTTAAAAATGTATTTTGTATTACAGTGATTGACTGACTCTTTAATTTATATTTACTCACACAGGTTTGTATGGCTGCTTGTCCTTGATTTTGGACAAGCGAAAATGCAAATCGGAGAAATGACGTGCATATTGACTTTCAAAGGCGCCAATAATACCCCTTGAAACATTTGAATTGTCCACAATGGAAATATCGACCCCTTCTCGCGATTTGATGACAATGCGACACGTTTCGAAGGGCTGTAAAAATGGTATGCAATTTGTTAGGAATTATCTGTATAAATTAAGAAAAAATTTCATTTAAATACCGCAATTAATAAAGGTTCAGAATAAGTTTTAGCAATGGACGTGCTTGGCTTTTGATTATCTGCTTCATTTGTTTTGATATCCGTGGGTATTTTGTTTATAGTTGTAATATTTTTTATAATCTCCCAAGTGGAATTGCCGTTTTTGGTAGTTTCATCAAGAGGTACAGGCGGAATGGTATTTAACTCTATATTCAAATTAGGTGGAATATTTTCTTTGGCTTTTTCATGTTGATCTGATGACTCCTCATCTAAGCTCTGTAAGTTGTGTATTTTATTATCTTCTTCAACATTGGCAGCTGATATTTGCTCCTTTGTCAAATTCACTTCCTTATTGTTTAGAAATTGATCAGCTTTCGTTGTGGGTTGAGTTTCCAATTCAAATTCCGCTTTAGGTGGAGCCTTTGGCACTGAGATTTCTGGTGTAGAATCATCCATTTTTGACTCTAAAGCTAAATTGTTCTGTGCATCTGATTTGGCACACACTAATTTTTTCTCAGACGGAATCGCACTACCAATGAGATGCAATTTTGATAAATATTCAATGATCTGTAAATTCAATGATTTGCCTGTATCTACATGATGTAAATCTATTTGCCTATTATTGTCATACTGTAGTATAAACCGCTTATTCTCGAAATTGGAAACGAACTTGAGGACTTCATGACTCATTGGTGCGTTCGGAACGCCCTTCAGCTGAAGCTCCATGACACTGCAAGGTAGTTGCATTATTTCGTTGCTTATCTCACGAATTTCAACGCTATTCCTTGGCTTGACAAAGCCCAAGTCCAGGTATTGAAGGCGCACACATGAGCCAGGAATTATTTTAACACGTCGGAATTGATCTTGATACTTGGCTAGGGCGTACGACAAGATCTTCGGCTTATCTATTTTGTTCATCTCTTTCCCCAACAAATGAACCTAAAAATACAGTTTATATTACAATGAAATATATTCAATATAAGCATAAATTCACACACAAACCTTTCGGCAAATTTCTGAATATTCCTTCTCAGCATTTTCGTTGGCCTCGCGCACGAAACAACGATTTACAAATCGAAAGCCAGTAATATAAATAATGTCTCCACTTAGAGGCATAGCTATACAAGGCGGAGGAACATTTATTTTAATATTCGTTTTCTTTGAAGTGTTGTTATTTAAGCCATTGCTGCTTTTGTTGTTGTTGTTTTTGATGTTGCTGCTGCTGCTGCTGCTGCCTCTTGCCATTACTGATACGTCTGCTTTGTAAGCCTTATCGTATTTGCGTCCGCTTTCTGTAGTTGCAGTAAGAGGAGCTGCTTCATTTTGCCTTTCGCCTAGGTTAGCTTTTTCTTCGTCGACTTTGTTAGCAGTGACGACATTGTCGCAAACTTGTTGAATACCTGGCTGTGATGGCATTTCCATAATACCAAAAGCTGAGCATTCTAAGGGATGCACCAGAGCGGGTATTGAAAAACATATATACCTATGACGTTGCCAATCATTTAGCTGACATTTCTTCGAACAATAAAAATCACCACAACGATGGCAAACTACACGGGTTTTTGTGCCACAGACCACACAGCATCCGCTGATTGCTGGCTTTAAGACCTCAAGGCTATCCATCCCGAACAACTTGGTTTTCACACTAATTTACACTTTTCAAATGCCCAACTTTCATAGAAGATAGCGATTTAGGAAAAAAAGAATACATCGATATTTTGTATAGTATTTGCTATCGATTTAAGAAGTGTGCTTGCGATACTCAACGATGCTACGAATTGGTACACAATTATTTTAAACCTTATTTGTACTGGAATACTGAATATACTTTCAAATGTTTTTGAAAATAGCCTTGAAAATTGTATTTGCAATTTGAAAGGCTTTCAAAAGAAATTGTCGTACATTGTATTCCTTTGGATTTTTATTCATGATGACAGAAATTATAGATTAAATTGTAATGTTTAATAATGGCTCACTTTCCTCTTTTAAAACTAAGCTTGTTAGCTTTGAAACAAATTAGTAAGCCAGTAGTCAAAAGCATAAAAGACACCGCTAAAACCAATGAGCCATTGCGTAAATATTTAGTCGTCCCAACAGCACAAAGTAAGAAGTTTTTTATATCGTAGCTAAAAGTTTACGATATTGTATTATATACAATCTGTAGCCTATCATTGGATTGGGGTAAGAACAAAAATGCGAATACTTGGCATGAGCCAACCAAAATATATACCGCCCTTAAACAACGCGCTGGCAATCCAAACCGGAAGTGAATTAGTGGGTGAACTGCTGATCTTTATAATTGCTGTCAGCTTGCTATTATTGGAGTTCTCACGGTATGTTTCATTTTTGCTTGTGTTTTTGAAATTTATAAAAGAAAAAGGCTGTAATTTATTAAAGGCAAGCGCGGAACGAAGCGTTGAAGAACAGTCAACGTCAGGCTGAGAAGGTAAAGTTGAAACATGAGTTGGAAACTTTGAATGATCGGGTTTTGAACCAAACACGCGAAATAATAAATCTTAAGGCACAGCTCGTAGAATTCATGGATCTTCATGAAAGCTAACAACAAATTGTTCAAAGTTTTGTATTAAATCAAATGATTTTCGGCTTTCTGTCAAACAATATGCTTCTACAATTTTATTTTTAATTTTTTTACTCTAATAAATTTTGGTTATCGAAATGGTCTCTGCATATCCTATCGGAAAGATTGCTGTACTTGGAATTAAGCAGATCGCCACTCCATTCAGCAAAGTTTTAAAGACTTTTGCCCAAAACAATTCAATATTTAAAAAGTATATTTGTGCTCCGGCTGGTCAAATAATACATTGGATCGAGACAAGATCAAAAATGCACATGCTAAGACTACCTCAACCCAAAAGAGTTCCTAAGCTCTCGGATGATATGGCTATCAGCATGGGAGCAAACCTTTTAAGCGAAGTTTTTACAATGGGCTTAGGCTTACTAATGATATACATCGAATCTTCACGGAAAGCAAAAAAGGATAAGGTGAAGAATGACTTACACAGGGAGAATCAAGAGAAGCTAAGAATAGAAATAGAAACACTGAATAATCTGCTCGATTGGCAGAAAAAACAAATATATATAATACGTGAGCAATTAAATGAATTTGAAAGAAATAGTCTTTAAGACAAAAATCACTAGTATTATTTTTGAAGATTCATTGCTTTTATTCGCATTTCAAAGCTTTAAGTCTCAAAATCTTTCATGTTTCTTAAATATCGATTAACACAAATCGTGTATCGTCTCGCGTGACCCACTCAACACGCCACTTAGAAAAACAGCTGTGTTCCTCGATCGCCAGCCCTGGTTTGCCTATAGTTTTCTGTGCCGAGATTTTGTAATATAAATTAATATAAGAGATGGTTATTGGAGTATTTCCAGCCGCCAAACTTGGCGTGCTGGCAATTAAACAAATTAGCAAGCCCATTGCCAATGTTATAAAGTCCAATGCAAAATCAAGTCCATTCTTCAGGAAATACATATGCATGCCGCCGGCACAGTGTAAGCCAAATAAATTCATATGATATAAAGGTAATTAATGCCGCTCAATTGTCGTTCGCTTACAGTTTACAATTGGGTGGAGGTAAAGACTAAGATGTGGGCACTGAATCTTGGACGGCCAGTCACGGTGCCTCCTTTGAATGAAGCCATGGCCATTGAGCTGGGCGCCAATTTGCTTGGAGAGTTTATTATCTTTGCCATTGGCGCCGGTTTGCTGATATTTGAGTATTCGCGGCAAGCGATTAAAGAGAATAAAAAGAATGAGGCTCTTCAATTGGAGAAAATGCAGCTGACGAACACGCTGACTGAAATGAACTTTCGCCTGGAGCGTCAGGATGCACAAATTCGAGAAATGACCCGTGTTCTGGCGGACCTAGGTGCGTGACTATATATGGATATATATTTAAACATAATAGCTTTACTACAAGGATATTATCTGCTTCCATTAGATTCACGCAGCATTTTTAAGTGGCACAAAGAACCGTTGCAGGAGTATGTGCCCTTCGATCCCAGTACACCAGATCAGAGCGCCAGCGCCAGATATCCTAAAACATATTTGGGCTCATACGATCCCGAGGGCGGCATGACATTCCGTGCGCTCAACTATCTGCAAACACAGATCTTTATCGATGGTCGCAATCGAAAAGGAAAGCAAGCTCTGCAGCACATGGATGAGGTGGCTGAAAAACTCGAAAGATCATTTGGCGAGACGGTAAACAATGCTGCGTTGCCCGTGAAATCACTACAATGACCAAATCTGAATAAGGATCAGGATTTGGCCCTACTCATGTATGCACTGACACTGGTAGAACAATAGTTCGCATACAAAATGTCACACCAAATCGATAAACTGCTTGATTTAAACAAATTTAATTGTTAAATCTACTTATATATACTATATATAGATAGGTTAAAAGTCAAGTGTAAATGTAAATGTATTTATTAATTTTTATTGTTACTAAAGAACAAACTATGAGAGATGTTTAACCAAGTGTGTATGACTTTCTATCCTTGATAAACGAACGACTGTAGCTGTCGCAGCTCTTCGCCTGATGAGGTCAGATCCCCAAGGTATTTATAGAACGATATGCAAATGTTGTAGAGACTACGACGAACAGCATAACGTAAATGATTGAAGTTGCTGCTGTTTGTGCGAAAGTTGGGCATGCCGTTGGCCAGTCTGTCCACTTCACATTTGAGGCGATGCAAGGCCTTGATAATAGCCGGCAAATCATCCTGCACAATGCCATAATTATCCTCCTTAATGGATGCGACGCATATCTGAGCCAGCGCTTGCGTCAACCATATCACTGGCAGTGCATTCTCTAGGAGAAATTCAGTTTTGGCACCTTCGGGTTCGTAGAAAAAGTAAACGATGCCAGGAATACGATGCAGCACTTCCTGCAATAACTCCTCCAACTTCGTCGACGTGCGCTCACACCAGTTGGGTACACGGCGAATGCTATCCGTGCTCTTAGTATTCCAATCCCTGCTGGGACCTTCAGCATGTTGTGGCGCAACAACAGGTCGAATGCCATGCAATTGATTGTATTGTCGTAGCAGCAACTTCTCTGCTAGAAGTGCGCTGCTCGTATCGCTGTAAATTGGCTGATCCACGTTGCTCTTTCGCATCGAATTACTAAGCTCATCGGTAAAGCTGCCCAAGATGCTAAGGCATTGGTCGCAGAGTGCGCGCCAGTTAGCTGGCCGATTACCCGGCTCAGTAAGCTGGAAGATTTCACTACGCACTGACGAAGTCTGGCGTTGTGCTTCCTGATACAAGAAATTAGCAGCCAAACACTGTACCACATAAACATTGAAGACTCCCAGGCCGGCCACAATAGTGAGCTCCTGTTCACTGGGAACGGAAAGGCGATGACGTGCAACAGTCATTGGTAGAGGCTCCGAGAGTATTGCGGCATAAAAGCAACGCATTAGACGCATATTGCTAACTATCTGAGCGCCCAGCAACCAGGCATAGAATAGTAAGCGTCCATTGGTGATCACGTCTACAATCCCAAGCAGCCTGTCGTCCGTGTCCACGTTGAGTACAATACTTAGACGATATCTTAGAAATGTGCCGAATAGCCAAAATACAAATGTGTAGCAAATCGTCGGCATCACTGAACTCATCGGCGCCTTCAGCAGCGTAGCATAGAGCACTTCGCGTAGCTTCTCTGAGCGCGACTGCTCAGCAAAGTCGAAATCAATGGAAGCCTCTTCCTGCATGTACTCGGTGGCAAAGTAATAGGCGCCAGCGCAAAGGCCCATGCCCAGCAAAAAAATGTGGTAAGAGTTCACACAGTCCTGGCCATATGCCTTGAAGATAAAGTGACTGTAAAGGTAATCAAATAGTACAATAATAATAATAATAATTATATTAAGGCCACATACCGGTAATCCGTGTGTAAATATCCTGTGTATAGCCATGCAGTTAGGTAGCCCACAATTGCATGAGCGAACAGAAAAAGTAGTTTTTGCGGACCATTGTGCAGCAGCCACCGATAGCGTGTGGGCCAATAGCGACGCTCGGCTAGATGTTGATGGGAGAGCGTCATTCCATAGAATACAATAGCGCCTAGTAATGGTATGCAGGCGAACCATGTGTAAAAGCTGCACACCAAACGCAACGAACTCATAATCCAATTCAGGGGATGAAATAATTCAAAATTTATTAACAACAGAAATACGGTGAGCAATAGGAATTGTACTCCGACGCTGAGTAATACGGCGCGCACGCAGCGGCCAAACAGCAGCAATTTGCAAGTATTTAGAGCCGCCTCGGACATTGTTGCGGTCAAAACACCACTTTTAAGTAATTAAATATATACAAAATTTAAGCTTAGAATTTGAGAACGTATGATTCCTGAAGTTGCCGGCACCGCGCGCTTTGTTGTTACCTATTCCGTGTTGCAGTGCTTAAATAATCGATATGTAAATCGATTTGGTTACGACAAAAAAATTTTATTTTCCAAAGGCCAACTGTTTATTTTCGGAATTCAACAACTTTCTTTTCTTTCTTATTGTTCTATGAATAAAAATAATAAGTTGCTATAAATTTTACATGGCAAGTGAATAGGCACTACCGACATATATTTTGCGGTAATACCACTGTGTTATAGTAACGTAACGTAAGCGCAAAATGAGCAACGTAAGAAACGATTTATCGATAGTATCGGCAGGGATAGTTACGATTTTAGTAATACAATGAATATCGATACAGATATATTGAGAACTTTCACATCGCTAGTTTCTACTAGTGAATGGAATTTTGGGCAGTCGAAAAATTCCAAAAACAAATGCGCGCACACGGAGAAGTGAAATAATTAGCATAATTTCGATTCGTAAGTGGCTGTGAAAAAAATCAAAGCTTATGTTTTAATATCACATCATTTTTCCTATTAAGGTGAAAAAAAAAAAACAAACAAATTAAAAAAAATCCATAGTTATTGAGTAAAATATTTCGTGTGCGCGTACGAGAGTCGAGTGTTGAATCGTCGTTCGCTCGGTTGTCAATGTTGCGTGAATAAAGCTAACGAATGAAATCGTTGTAATTAATTCCCATTTAATTGCTGTTTGTGCATAATAAAGTTAAATCAACGTTTAGTCAAAATGATGTTAAAATGCTCTAAGCTACCAGTTAAATATATTCAAACACTGTAATGAATATGTGTATTTAGGTGTGTGTTTGTGTTAGTAAGTGCAGCAGCTGCCAAAAAAGCGCATGTGAAATGCAGATAAGCATTTGAGGTCACTCGACGTATTACAATTTTGTGTACGCGCGCGTGTGTGTGTATGTGTATGTGTACGCTTGTTTCCCTTGGCTGTATTCTTATTATGATCATTAGAGCAGAACCGGAGGGCAGGTGGTGTCCACACATGAGCAGACAGACAGACAGACAGACTGAGTTACGCATTAATTATATACACACATGTAAATTTACATACGGATGCATAGCATAGCTATGCAGGAATTTGTGTGTGTACATAAATATATTTATGTATGTACACACATATGCACACGCACACACATGCATGTATGCTATTAAAAAGTGACAACACAAGAACAACAAGCGTTGCGTCTGGCAAATTGTTCTGCTTTACGCGCATAATAAGTATTTAGGCAGAACAAATTTTTTCATAAAACAAAACGTTTCGTTGGGCTGAGATGAGCTGAGCGTCGTGTTCACTGTGCTCTCGCTCCTCAATACTCCGCCACTTGTCTCCCCCGCCTGCTTACTCTTTAGCCATTGTCGTTGTCGTTGTTGTTGTTGTTCTTGTCTACTGGCGACTGCGACTGCGACCGCGACGTTGGCGGCTGCTTCATGCTCCATTCACCTACTTTTACGCGTTGCGCGCTCTTTGCTCTCTGTTTCTGTTTCTGGCAGCGAGCGACGTTCGTTTTCTGAATTCCAAATGAAGTCATGAGCAGCAGATTGTATGAAAACCAACAGCAACAGCAACAACAACAAAGCGAAGTCAACAGCTAAACAACAATACAAAAGTCGTTGTCGCGTTATTACAACAAGAAAAGCCGTAAAAAAAAAGTGAAATTAAGTGCTTAAAAACGCGAGACAGCAACAGCAGCAGCAACAACAACACACCAGCACAGCAGCAACAGTAGCAGTAGCAAAATGACATGGTCGCGTCTCGTTTACACAATAACTCAAATTAATTGAATATGTTGGCAAATGAGCAAAACGAAAATTACGTTAAAAGGTGAGTAGCAACATCCGAAGATGGCATCAAAGCACAGGCTTGACAAATTGTGCATTTGTGTTGGTATTTATGTATATGTATGTATGAGATGTATGTGTGTGTGTATTCGCATGTATGTATAGTCAACGTAGTTCGGAAAGTAAACACACATACGTACGAAATATATCCAGGCGTCAGCCTCTTTACAATCATAGTTTGTCAATGTGAACAAAACAAAGAAAACTTTGCAAATAAATAATTTATTTTTTATCGGGCAATGTTTCTTTTCATATACATATATATCTCTATTGATCTAACTAGCTAGATACGTTGAAACACTAAAAGCTAATTTTAAGATATCGCAAATCAAGTTCGATAATTGTTTATGACACCTAGTAAAGTATCGATAGCTAGCCATGGCTAGCGATTAGTTAGAGAAACCTACTTAAATTTGCTGTTTCCTCTCTAGCATGCTTATGGCTTATCAATTTGCTTGATATCTGAGAAAATGTAATTGAATTAATAATAGTTCAGCAGAAAGTTGAGTACAGGGTATTTTCGAGTCGGGTAAACGAATGTACTTACAATTTTTGAAATAGCTCTGAGTCAGCCTTTATAAATTCCCAAAAATTCCATGTACACTTACTTATGTATGTATATAGTACATAGGTATACCATATGTTTGTGTATGTGTGCGTGTGAATGAGTATCTATGCACTCGTACAAATTTGTGCTCTCACTTGAAAATTCACTAAACATCGATGTTCGTTTGCAGCCCACAAATCAAGCGCTTTTAAACGGCTGCTGTTATTAACATGGCAGCCGCATCCGCTGGCCAACAGCTGCAGCAGCAGCAACAGCAGCAGCAACAGCAGCAGCACAAACTGAACATTGTTGGCAATGCGGAATCGGTTGCTGGCGTGCTGCAGGTCAACGAGTTGCAACAGCACCAACAGCAGCAGCTCAACATGTACAAGCAACAGCAACAGCAGCAATTGTTGCAGCAACAACAACAACAACAGCAGCAGCAGCAGCAGCAATTCTATCAGCAGCAGACAAAATTTGTATCGCGGGTCGTTACAAATGCCGCTATGCAGCAGCAACAACAACAGCAACAACATCAGCAGCAGCAGCAACAACAAATATTACCAGCTGGTTTGGTAAATGGTAGCGCCATGATGCAAGCCGCAAATGTTGCCGGGCAGCAACAACAGCAACAATTGCGCCACAGTCAGCATATATTTGTGTGTCCAGCGATTGGATCGCCGATGCAACAGCAACAGCAACAAGCAAAGCAGCGTACAGCACAAATAAAATTGCCTGTGAAACCCGCAGCAAACACATCGGCAACTGTTGCTGCCACGCACTGTATGCCAGCAACAATTGCTTCGCGTCAAATGAGTCAGAACAATCAACATCAGCAGCAGCAGCAACATCAGCAGCAGCAGCAACAGCAGCAGCCGCAGCAACAGCAGCAGCAGCGGCTCTATGCAAAGAATGTGGCCAAAGCCAACAATGCTAACAATAATGCAAACAACAGCAGCAGTAGCAACAACAATAACAACAATGGCAGCAACAACAACACCAACAACAGTGCAAATTTGGCTCCAGGCTGGCGTCGACTAACCAACAACAATGAAGTGGCCTACATCAGGTGAGTCGCTGTCTCCTGGCTCTGTTTCTATCTCTTAGCTGCTATCTCCATCTCTGTCACCATCTCTATCTCTATCTCTGTCTCTGTATCTGTCCCTTGTATGACATTTACAGCAAGCCCCAGCTAAAAGTCAATCTGTGTATTGTCTGGCAGTGCATATTCGAAGCCATAAAAATGTTTTCTTGCCAAACAGGAAATGCTTGCTCGAAAGGGGTAGCTCAGCAGATGGGCAGCTCGAGTGGGTGGGCCATACGAGAATCGGTTGCATTTGCTTGCTGTTGGTAGCCGTCACGTTAAACTTCAAATGTTTTCCCAGATTCTTGTACATTTGTACTCCTCGTCCAATGTTCAGCACAAAATGCAACATGACAGAAGAGGCTATCAGCCGCAAGTCAATATACACATATGTAAACCTATATTTGGTTGTATTTACATTAAGAGTTACAAGACGCTTTGAAATCGATATACATATATTATATCGATCATTTTTTAATTGGTTAGACGAATTAAATACTTAAAATATACATATCACATATTATGATAAATGCGTTATAATATTTCTATATGAAAAGGTATGAAAAGGTTGCATTACATTTACATTAGTGTTACAAGACGCTTTAAAATCGATCATTTGTAACTTTGTTAGATGATAATTAAATATTAAGTATTATACCATATTTATGATTGATATGTTTTTAATCATATATATAAAGTTATATTTGATTGCATAGTGTATTTGAATTAAATTCATAATACACTTGAAAATCGATATATATCGCTCAGTTGGTACTTGATGACACACTTTATATGAAATGCCCAAGTATATCTCCATTAATGTGTTTGCATACAAATTGTAAAGAGATTGAGTCACATAAATAACTCATGTAGAGGATATTATGTTATGTTTGCTCAACTAACCTTATACTCTGTTTACCTCCATTAAAATGTGTACAGGGTATTCCAAAGTCGAGTGCCTGGCATTATGGGTCTGCCTGTCGTATGTACATAGACAGCGAGTATTTACCTGAGCATTATCTGCGAGTTATCATCAAGCCGACATAATTACAAACACAAATACAATATTTACACAAATATGTCGAAAACAAGCCACCGTCTGTATGTGCCCCATTGCCCAAGTAGTTTTAATTGTTCTGCTGCTGCTGCTGTTGCTGTTGCTGTTGCTGCCCGAGTGTCGTTTGACTGGGCACCAGAGAGCTGTTTACAGGGTTTGCAGGGCAGCAGGGCAGCTGGGCGGGTGAATCAGCAGGAGGGGAGCGGGTGGAGGTAGGTGCGGGCACACTCAGCGAGTCTTTGGCGCTGTGCAAATAGTTTACGGCTTTGTGGTGGCTGCCTCTCTGACGTTGTTGTCATCAGAGTTGGATAATCGTTGATTCTATAAGTGCCTCGAGGCGAGTCGAGTCGAGTCGGCTTGACTGGCTGCCCTGCCTTTTGCCTCTTGGCGATTGGCTTGTACGTCCAATCACAGGAAATGCTATATAAAAAAAAAAAACGATGCTCACATTCCTAGAAATGAGAAAAGATGATACACAATATATACATATATATATGTCGCATATAGATTATATATAGATTATTTTTAGCCTGATTTGGGACAGTTTCAATCGATGGCGATAAGGGACTTTTTGAGTGGGGTTTGCTAGCTGTCTTCATTAATATATTTTTAGATTTGATGTTACTGGCCATTTGGAACACTTTAGTTGGACTGGTCAAGCCATGTTGCATGTTTGTTCACAACTGCAGCAGCAACAGCAGCAGCTGCAATTGCCATGTTGCATGTTGCGTGCTGTTGTTTGTTTGGAATTTTGTTTATCGTTTTATTTTTGCCCCTTGTGCAAATTCTTTGTGAGCTTTCGTCCATTTGAACAGAAGAGATAAGCGACGTTAGCTGCGCTCTCGAGGGGTTGGGCTAATGGCTAAATGAATACCATCTTTGTGCTAAGCTGCCCCCTCTCGCTGCCATCGGGCAGCCAAGGCTATTTTCTTGGAAAGAATGCAATGAGTAAGCGGCGATTGTGCTCAAGGATGGAGGCATATAGGGCAGAGGGCTTTGGTAAATCAATAATTGTTGCGCAAGCCTTTTCAAGTCGTTGACTGCGCGCCGTGACGTCACACACACACACACACACACATATATATATATATATATATATATATATATATATATATATATATATATA